CACACACAGATACTTCTAGACAAATAATCAAATGTGGGAACGACTTTCAATGTTGTGTTGATCTCCTTTATGATCTCCTCTGTTACTTATTGCTGTACTCAAATCAGACTCCAATTCCTGACTTTTGGTTATATGGTTCATCTACAAGTAGAACGTGATTCTCAACTGTAGAGGCTGTAGAGGCTCAAAGAGCAATAAAGACCTCATCTGCAGTAAAGCTGATGAACTTTGGGAAACACCAGTCCACCAGCTGAAGCTCGTGAGCATATCAGTATTACAACATCAGGTACTGTTTTCAACCCAAGATTTCACAAGTTTTCACTTACTTCAATAAGAATAAGCTTTTTATCACTTTCTGAGGACTCCCCAAGCATCTGAAGTTTGTTATACTTATTTGCTCTTAATAGAAAATCTTGAAAGAGAGCTGCTTGGGCCTGGCTCGGAAACATATGAAAATTGGAGTCTGAAAGAGAAAACTAATTAAAAATATGTATTCTATATTATACCAAGTAGAATAAAATACCCACAAGAACTAATACCCACCCAGGCTGTTTTCTGACAGCACCACTGAAGAAGCCCTTCGGCAAACAAATACAAGAGAATTTTTAAAAGGTGTAATTCAAGTGAGGACCCCAATAAAGACATTTACCTGGTTTTATTTAGTTGGTTCAAGTGATATCCATGCTATTACAGAGCTCTCTGTACTGATCTGAATTGTCAGTTATTTTGGAGTTAACACTGTAAAAAACCTAAATCCCTTTCCAGATAAAAGCAACTGAAAAATTTTTATTATACACTAGGGAATGGATTTACGCAGATGTGGATCTGATTTCATATGTGACAGACACAAAAGAAACAAAACCACAGCATATGAAAACCACAAAACTAACTGGAACAGAAAAAATAAGAGAAAAAACCCAAAATACTTACCATGGTCAAACATGTTTCTTAACTCTTCCTTTGTAAAGTCTAAAGATACAGGATTGGTCCATTCTTGCACCTGAAGGTCAAGATCTTTGGCCAGAATTTGCAGAGTTGCAGTTTTTCCGCAGCCAGGGGGGCCAGTCAGCAACAAAACAGAGCCACTCTGACACAGAGGGACAGAAATAATCCCAAATGTGACTGATAAATAATGACAGTTGGCTGGAGATGAACATTGGTTGAATTTCCCCTGTATTTTCTCTGGTAATGATCCTCTTTCCCAATGAAACCCAAGTCACATATTTTGTGTTGTTGATTTACCTGCTGAGTGTTCACAAAGAGAGAGCTAGGCCAGGACTCTGAGAGTCCTGTTCTGTTCCCAAAGCCCCTGGTTAGTTGGGCTGTTGCAATTTATGCCTGTGTACAAGAACAGCTCCCATCCACCAAACTAAAAACGTCCTGGTACACCAACCCTGTGCAACTGGACATTTGCCAAGAGACCTAAAAATTAACCTGAGGTTTCAAGCACACTGAAGAGTTGTGATTTATGACTGTAGGCCAGAAAATAATATTTCTGACCAAAATCAGAATCCACCTCTTACCAGCACAGGCCCCAAACAAAAGTACAAGCTCTAACCTGTGTTCTTAAGAGACTTCTTACAATGATACACAATCACTACCTCTCAGTTGAGGTTTTTCTCTGAACTTAGAATTGCATCCAGCTCATTTGTATGGTTTGATACCTCTGGCTGTTCATTTTAGCATGTTTACCTGCTTTGGTTGCCTCTGAAATATGTGCATTTTTAACCAGGCCTCAACTTCTTCAATTTTCTTCTTTTGCACAGCAAGGTCATTCTGAAACAAGGTTAAAATATGTGAAATTCATATATTCACCTCTTCGTTTCTAAAGATGAGATTCAAGGATAAAATACATGCTGACTGAAATATTAACAGACATGCTGGTGTGTGTTCCAGTTACATTTATGCTCTGCAGAGGCAAGTGCTACAGTTAAGGATGATCAGCTCAACCTGTTTCCTCCAACAACCTGTTTTCCATTGTCTGCAGTTGGGAAATAAAGAGCTGTTAATCATTCTCAAAGTAACAACACTACAATCTTGCCTATTGGTGTCATCATGCTTCCCAGACAGCTGGGTTTTCCCAGTGCTTGGAGCAGATGGATGTGGCTGGAATTCAGTAACAAGTTCAGAAGTTTAGATGTGGACTGACAGGAAAGAACATCTGATCAGCAGCTTTGCCTCCTCAGGAGGCCTGAGGGAAATGTGTCTCCTACAGATAAAGAGCTCCTGGCAGTGAACAAACCAGACCAGCACCTTTTTGCTGTAGCAAAATAGGATATTCTGGGAGCCTGACCAACACAAATTACGGACAGAAGCACAGCATGTTACTATGTTACTACTACGTTAGAACTCAGAGTAAGTCCCACCTGAGTCGCAGGTTTGTACCTCTCCACCCATGGCAGCTCATCCTGGGACAGGCTCCAGCTCTGCCTGGACTTGCTACAGGGCAGATCCACCACAGAGGGCTTTGCCCTTTTCCTGGAAGGAGCCCTGGCTTTGCTGTTTTCTGGCACAGAACTTGGGTCCTTCTGCTGCTGCCTCCAGCCTCTCCCAGAGTTGCCTCTCAGGGCCTTCACAGCAACACTGGTGCTTCCAAAGGAGTCATCGAAGGGGTGCCCCAGCCAGTCTGCCACCTGCAGAACACAAACACTGTCCCACTGAAGCAGCACCTCCTCCCCTTATCTGGCCACAGCTGTCCCTAGAAAACGGCAGCTTTTTATCCAGTGTACACTTGTCCATCCCTGGAAGTGTCCAAGGCCAGCTTGGACAGGGCTTGGAGCAACCTGGGACAGTGGAAGGTGTCCCTATCTGTGGCAGGGGGTGGGACTAGATGGGCTTTAAGGCCCTTCAAACCCAAACCATTCTGGGATTCTGAGATTCTTCAGTATTAAAATAAAGCCTCCTCTCACATGTTGTGCTAAGAGTATTTTGCAGCAAATTGTCAAGTCAGAACAAGTAGAAAACTCCACAAACACACATCCAAACTAAAGAAGTAAAATTAAATCAGAGATAAGAATGAAGAAGCAGCAGCAGCTTACTCAGACTGTGTTCGCATTAAGGTCATGTTCACATTGTCTCTGTGCAGTTTTCAGTATGTGGCACTTTTTTCCCCTCTTCTTTAACACTTACAATGCAGCATTTGTGATTCAAAGTTGGAAGCAGATGGCAGAGAACAACTATTGAGGTAGCACAATAAAATCAGGGATTGTTCCCTATTTGCTGCATGGGGCAGCTTGGGCTGAGTTGTGACTGCATCAGAGCCTGCAACAGCAACGCAGAACCATTCAGCACTGAATTTTGGGTTTGAGGAGCTCCCAGCTGGAATAGGGGTGCAAACTTACGCTCCAAAGCACTTCTCAAAGGCCCCAAATACCATCACAGGGGTCACTGGCAGCCCCTCAGTGCAGGGCTGAGATGGCAACAGAGCCCCCAGTGAAAATGTGAGTGACAGAACAGACACAACGTTCCCAAAAAGGGCCGGGAAACCACAGTTTACACATCTCATCGACCAACACAGCAGAGTGTCCGAGAGCCAGGGGTGCCAGGATGCTCTGCCTGGAATGGGGTAAAACAACTACAACAAGGCCCTGTTTGCAAAGCCCCCAGTGGGGAATGAAGAAGGGGGGGTCACACTGCTTTTGGGTTGAACAAAGCTGAAACCAGCCAACTCATCAATCCCAAAGGGAAAGATCCTGAGAGGGAGGGGAAGATGTGGCAGAGCTGGGAAAATCCCCAGAGAAAGCAACAAACAAGTGACGCCATTGAGAACTGCTCCAAAGCTGCTGTGCTGCACACCCTGGACACACCTAACTGACAGTCCAGCACTGCATACTAGAAAAGCCCAGGTCCAAATTTTAAGGGTGGGATCTTGTGACATATCCCTTCTTGTGGGTATGTAGATTCCTCCCCAGAGTGGGGACACACTTCAAGGTCACTCCTCCAGGCTGAGCCAAAGAGATTTGGTCGTTGGTCTAGGTGAGTGACATCATCTCTAATTAATAATTGGTTTTACATTAATACAATTGCTTAAATATTCAGAATCACAGAATCATTAAGGTTGGAAAAGAGCTCTGAGATCATCGAGTCCACCCTTAGTTTCATGCTCACATTTCAATTCTTTAAACATTCATATTCCAACTATTGCTTCCAAGTGCACAGTTGTTACAGCTCCTATACTGTGTAGTGAATAATTGTGATCAAGATCGCTTTGTCCAATCATACTTATACAAATATATTTGATAATGGTTTGCTGCCCTCAATCCCGCGGGACAGAGTTGTACAGTGACACTTGTACAACACTTTAAACTTGAACCACTGACCAGGTCTGAGGCTGGGACTGGATCCAGCCGCCCCCAGGCTGCTCTGGGAGAAGGGGTTTGGGAAGCCAGCGGGTCTTGGGGCGGTTTGGGGGTCTCCTGGGGGTGTTGGGGGTCCTTTCTGCACCTTGCGACTCCACGGGAGTGTCTCTGGTGAACTCTGAAGCTCCCGCCGTGCCCGTGACCCTCAGCACCCGGGAAACAGCGTCTGCTGGGGCTCCAAGAGGCCGTTATTCCCACAAAAGCCGTTTTTAGTGGAATTTGCATATTTACCCGCGACGCCCCGTGCGAGTGGAGGGTCCCTTCCACACACACCGACACCGAATGTTACTCTCGGCACAAAATAACCCCGTGGCAAAGGAGAACCGCCAACACCGAGCCCGGGCAGGAACCGCCTGAGCGAGAGCCCCGACTCGGACTCACCTCCGCCAGCCTTCCCGGGGCGCTGCCGGACATCCTGGGCTGGGAGGCACCGGGGGGCGCCGGGGGAGCCCCTTCCCCCTGCCGGGCGGCGGCACTCGCGGGGTCTCGGTGCCCTCGGACTCTGGGGATCTCTCGGTGCCCCGGGGGGTCTCTCGGTGTTCTCCGGTGTGCCCGTCCCGCCCCCCGGTGCCGTCACTCCTTGGCCCCGCGCGGTCCTTCCCCTCCGGCCGTCGCCGGGCTGCCCGCGTCGCGCCTGCCTGCGCGGTGACGCCATCGGCGCGCGCCGGCGGCGGCGGAGGCCCCGCGCACGTGTCTCCAGGGCGACGGCGGCGCCATGAGGCGGCCGAACGTGCTGATCACCGGTGGGCACGGGGTGCTCGGCCCAGTCCCAGCCTGGGCTGATCTGGGGTGTGAGACCGCAGCCCCATCACAGCCTAGAGTCACTGGGCGCGGCGGTCCCATCCCGGGGCGGTTTGGGGTCTGGGGTCCCATCCCGGGGTGGTTTGGGGTTTGGGGTTGCAGTCGGAGTGATTTGGGCTGTGGAGTCCTGGCCTGGGAGGATTTGGGGTGTCACACCTGCCCGAGAACTCGGGACGCTCCCATCCCGTCCTGGGGTTTTCTTTGCCCCCCCCCCCCCCCCCCGCCCCCCGGTGTGGGTGACGTTCCTGTACACAGTGAAGGTTCTCTCCCTGGTTCTCCGTTTCCCACTCCAGCGTTGCCCTCCCTGGTTCTCTTTGGGGTACAGCTCTGGGCCCTTTTCCCTCACGCGAATCCCTCGATGTCCACTGGCCAAAGGTCCCAGTTCTCCTGCTGGGAGGGTGTCTGGGGGGACCTGCACCTCCTCCCTCACCCTGTCCTGTGGTTTTGGTCTCCAGGCACTCCAGGCGTTGGGAAAACCACGCTGGGAAAGGAACTGGCATCCAGAGCAGGGCTGAGCTACATCAACGTGGGGGACCTGGCCAAGGAAGGTGCTGGAAAACAGAGGAGTCACCAGAGCACGGGGGATTCTTTGCTCTGTGCAGCTCTCTGCTTGTGGTGGGAGAGCTGGGGTTGTGCTGCCTGGAGAAGAGAAGGCTCTAGCCTTCAACTCAGAGCCCCTTCTAGGGCCTAAAGGGGCTCCAAAAATGCTGGAGAGGGATGTGGGGCAAGGGATGGTATGAAGGATAAAGAAAAATAGCTTCCCACTCCCAGACAGTGTTCCCTGTGAGGGTGGGGAGGCCCTGGCACAGGTTGCCCAGAGAAGCTGTGGCTGCCCCTGGATCCCTCGCAGTGGCCAAGGCCAGGTTGGATGGGGCTTGGAGCAACCTGGGATAATGGAAGGTGTCCCTGCCCATGGCAGGGGGGAGGAACGAGATGAGTTTTGAGGTCCCTCCCAACCCAAACCATTCTGGGATTCTATATATTAAATCAAAAGGCAATTAATTTTCTCTAACAGGGCCCTGGTGGTCAATAGTAAATGACAAACGTACCCTTACACAGATTTGTAAACCAAGTGTTCCCTCCGCTGAGCTCTGCCTTTGTTTGCATCCTCCTGCAATGAACATACCCATGTAGACAGTTGTGGTGGCTCTGCCCCCCCAAACTGCCTTGACCTGTTTGTGCTGCAGGGGAGCTGTACGAGGGCTTTGACGAGGAGTACGACTGCCCCATTCTGGACGAGGACAGGGTGAGTGCAGCCCCTAAACCACCCACGTGTCTGGGCCTTCTGCAGTGCCAGGGGAGCCTACCTGTGTCCCTTTGCCCTGCAGGTGATCGACGAGCTGGAGGACAGGATGAGGGAGGGCGGGGTGGTGGTGGATTACCACGGCTGCGACTTCTTCCCCGAGCGCTGGTTCCACATCGTGTTCGTGCTCCGCACAGACAACTCCTTCCTCTACGACAGGCTGGAGAGCAGGTGTGCCAGGGGGCAGACCAGGGCAAAGGGAGGGTGTTTGAGGGTGTCAGTCACAGATTCTCCACTGCTTCTGCACATCTCACACTCTCCCTTGGTGCTCTCATTTTCTAGGGGCTACACAGGGAAAAAGCTGCAAGACAACATTCAGTGTGAGATTTTTCAGACTCTTTATGAAGAAGCTATGGAGTCATACAAAAAGGAAATTGTGCATCAGTTACCCAGCAACACTCCAGAGGACCTGGAGAGAAATTTGGATCAGATTATGCAATGGATTGAGCAATGGATGAAGGACAACAACTGACTCTGGGTGGAACAGTGACTGCTGAATCTCTTCCTGGGAGGGTTCAATAAATGACATTCATTTTGTATCAGTTAATGTGAATTTTACTGTAACTGGATGTGGTTGGGGAGTAGAAGGTTTAGAACAGCCAAGTTTGTGAATGTTTGGAACAGCCTCTGAAGCACCCTGGGAGAGACACACAGGAGAACCCACACAAGTGAATGGAAGGATGGAAACAGCACCAAATTTCTCAGTAGAGGAGCTGTGTTCAATAATTGAGAACTCTTTGGGCCTCACAATTAAAACCAAACCATGAACTCACCCCAGAAAAACTGTAAAATACTGATAACTGGTGCAACAGTGTCCTGAAAAGGGGTTAATCTAAAGCTGAGTTGTGAGACTCGAAACTGCTGTGCCCCACTGTGTCCTTGGGTGTGAGGCTAATGCAGACCGAGGGGTTGGTTCAGGTTAAGGAAGGAAGTGACATGGTAACAGTTATTTTAAAATTCACAGAACTTTGGGAATTCCTTCATGGATAAGGACACATGGACTGTATCTGCACTGGTGTGGAATGCTGAACAATAAAGAGCAATAAGCTTTCTTTTCCCTTTTTTTCTCTGTATTCCCAATCACCTATCCCAGTAGTGGAACACAGATCACTGCAGGTTTACCCAGGAAATACATCCCTGGGCAGGAAAACCTGGGGAGCCCCAGAACGTAGCTACAATTAAAACACTGGCAGCCATCTGTTCTAATTGCTTGTACAGCCTGGGCCCCAGCAGGACAGGGCAGATAAAAACCTTCCTTCAATGAAAAGCCTGCTTGGAAAGCTGCTGTAGGAAGTGCTTGCTAATAAACTCTCAATATTCATGATATAGTAAAACCACTTTCTTAAAGATTTCTGTTGTAAAGAGTATTACTGTTAGGTATTTAAGATTACTGCAGATTGAGTATAGGGTTTTTGGGTGGGACTCAGAGGAATACTGCATCAGCAACTTGATATTATAAACCAAAATGATGATAAATCTGGAGTTTCCTGGCACAACCGAGAAAAAGCACTGAGGAAACACAGGCAGAGGTGTTTTGATCTTGGACGGCACTAGGGAGCAGGGGGAGGGCGGTCTGTGGGGTGGAGAGGACAGCCCCAATTCTTGGGAGCGCCTTGAGTGACCATGTCAGGTCACCTCAGGTCGCGTTTCCGAGAGCTGCCTGACACCTCTCGGGGCTGCGGCGGGGCGGGGGCTGCAGGGGAAACAGGGACCTGTTTTAAAAGGTAAGAATAACCAACCCCACCTTCCGCCGAGCTCCGGATGCCGCTCCCGGTGCCGCTCCGTGCATCCCGCCCCGGGGCGGGACTGGCATCGCCCTGTGCCGGTGGGTGCGCAGGTGGGTGCGGGGGGGATCCAGGGGTGCTCCGGGACGGGAGCGGTGCCGGGGGGGCCCAGGGAGGGGCTCAGCGAGGCGCTGCCACCGCTGCCGCCCCGGCCGCGGCTCCCACCGAGGGGTGGGCGCGATGTTTTTGGCAGCCCCGACCCGCCGGGGGAGCGGCCGCGCACCGACGCCTCCGTGTGTCTCACTGCAGCGTTGTCCTGCTGCTTTAAATAAACGCTTTTCCTTTTCTTCTAGATAAAACAGTCGCTTTCAGGAGGTGCTGTTGGCATTGGCCGTGGTGAAGGGCCCTCGGTCAGGAAAGGAAAAAAAAAAAAAAGAAACAAAAAACAAACGCAAAACCAGGAGGAGAAGATGGAGGGAGAGGAGGATGACATGACATGTGGAGACTTGGGAAACGGCCTTGGGAGAAGACCTGGAGGTGTTTATGAAGGGGAAAACTTTCAAAATCCCTATTCATTTAGATCCAGGAAAGGATCTGGAAAGGCTTGTAATTCCCTCTTGTCAGCAAAGGGAGCGGAAGAAAATGATGCTGCAGCTCTTCCTGGTCCAAAACGAAATAGTTTTTACGATGGATCACTCAGAAAACCTGCTGCAAGTTCCACACGGCAGAACAGCTGTGGTAAGAGTAATTGGGAAGTTAATTATTCACCGGGGAAAAACCTCTGTTAGAAAAACTGAGCCGTTCAGCTGCTTCACATATTGTCATCAAGTTTAATTAGAACCATTTGCCGAAGTCCGTGAAGGATTCCAGTAAGTGCCTGTGCATCCTGTGCCTGCTGGGAATCTCCACCTTCCCCCCGGGACATTAACGGCACAGTTGCTTTTCAGAGATCGAGGCTCTGGCCCTTCTTAGTGTAAAACGCCCGGTTTTAAAGTGTTTGGTTTTGCTTTTTAAAGTGACATTTAGCAAGAGCGTCCTGTGGTGGCTGTCTCTCTACATACATACATAAAACTGAATGGAATTGCTTGGATTCCTGCTTTGTTTAAGTAACTTTAAGTCTTCTCAGGTATCCTATCTAGAGCTTGTGGCTAAATATTCAAAAATCTCATTTGCTATTTAGTTGAAATTTGTGAATTGGCTTCCTTTTGGGCTAAAAAGTTCTTTTCAGAACCTATGTTGGCATTCATCTTTTTCTTTGTGAAGGAAACACTGCTGTAAATACCATCAGGTGTAGGCAGTGCTGTTCATTACACTTCAGCTGCTTTCCTTTACATTTTTAGTGTTTTGACTGAGGTATTTCTGCGTCATTTGCTTATTTCTCTCCTTCAGAAGAATTCCCCACTATTCAAATGCCACAATAAACTGAGCTGTCTTAAAACTGCCCTTACTTCTACATAGTGCCAGCCACTGTTGTGTTGACTGTGGTTGTTGAAAAGTTACAATCTTAAAACAATCTAAAAAATTAAATTATTTTTTAAATCAAGAGGCATTTTTCAATTTTTTTCCAAAGGAAAGTATAAAATATTTGTCCTTATTTTCTGTCTTTACAACTGATCTTTTTCCCGTATTTCACTTCTTTAACTGTGAGCACTGTGTTTGAAATTAATATTTATGTATTTCTTAAATCTGTTTATTAGCTCCAGAAAAAAAGTAAAACAAACCGCAAAGATGAAAATTCACCTCTACATTTTACTTGTGTTCAGGTTAAAGCAAATTCTCATTTTTTTTCTTTCGATATTATAGTGTCTCATCATTCAGTATCTCCTGTTAATCCTACAGAATCTAATACTGAAATGTCAAATGAAGAACTAAAGCAACGACTTCAGGAAGCTCTAGAGGTTGGTAATGGTGCCAAGGGTGCTGCTCCCCAAATCTGCATTTCCTTTTAATGTAGCAAGAGGATCTTGGCATGGCCAGAGCATGGATCTTGGCATGGATCCAGGTTCTTGAAATTAGAGGGCTAGTTGGAATCTTCATTAAATTTTACGGCAGGAAATCACAGTGTGAGGTGCTGTTTGTACTCTGGGGGTTTGTGGGTTTTTTTGGGGGGTTTTTTGAGGGGTGGGGAAGGTATTTTGAGGGAACTAGAGAATATTGAAAGTAATATACTTCTTTAGCTGGTGTTATTTTTTATTAAGCTTTGGGGCCTGAATATCTGCAGTGTAAGCAATCTTTGGCTTTTTAGTTTGCATTTTTGTTGAGAGGTGGTTAACTCCTACATTTTGGGGTTCCAAATGTGGTTAAATGCATTGGTGTGTTGGCATCACAGCCAGCTGACCTCAGCTGTGAAAACACACAGTTTGTCTGCTCTGTGTTCTCTAACCTCAAGTGAGCCCCTGAAAAGAAGTCAAGGAGGTAAAACAGAAGAGGGCAAATTCACTTTGCTGCTACAGTCGAATCTTAGTAGGATTACCTTGGCCTGTACTCAGTGTCCCTATTCTGTTTTGCTTCAGGAAGTTGAAATTTTGAAAGTTGAGCTTGAAGCGTGTCAAAGGCAGCTTGAAGGAAAAGATGAAGCCCTGAGAATCCTGCAGAGCATGGTAGGAGTTGTTCAGAAACCGTTGGGTAGGTGTTGGTGACGGAAGGAAAAGGGAAAACCCTTCCTGCTGCTCCTCATCCAAACCTCACAAACCAGGATTTCCAGGCGCTGCAGTTCAAAGCGCTGAGTCTGGAGGTGTCTGCAGACGTGGCTGCTGCAATGTGCTGCTTTTTCTCCACAGATCTGATGTGGTTGTGGAAGAAAACTTTACTGTTGTAGCAGTTCTCACAGTTTTATCTCTGAGGATCCTTCAGGATTTATCTATTTAACATAAAAATAAGGCCATTTTCCAGTCCCTTATGTGATAGATTTTGCCAGGGCTTGAAATCCTGCTGCAAGTCACAGGTGTTTTAGTTACTCCTCTATCTGTTGTCCTAGAGGACAGTGTGGGTTAGATGTCAGGTCATTCTTTTGCTCACAGTCTGCAATAGTTCTGTTGGTCACTGTCACAACGAACTCTGGTGAAATCAGTTCCTGCTTTTCTGCCTCCTTGCATAACCCATTTATAGCTGAGCAGTTTCTACCCTCAGACATTTGCAGCCAGTTACACCTGGATCAAGAGCTTAACTGTGTTGTAACCAAGTGTTCAAAGATGGGATTTTCTGGACAACCTGTGAAGAACAATGTGATCTCATCTTAAATTGTGCTGCATTTTTCAATAGGAGAGATTGGAACACAAGTTTGTTGTGCAGTTTAGTGACTTGAAATCAGAGCCCACTGGGGCTTACAAGCAAGTTGTAACGTTTGTCATTCTGCACACTCCTGTTTAACGAAGGATGTGAACTTCTCTGTGTGTAGGACTCAACATGTGTCTAAAGCCAAATTAAGTGAACTTAATGACAGAGTTTGACAGAATTATGGGGGTTTTTCCTCTTTTTTTTTTTTTTTTTAGGCAGTATTTAATAAAGCCACTAGTCATACAAAAGAAATGCTTCAAAAAACTGAGGAAGAAAAGAGGACTTTAGAGAAGGTAAGGGTGTGTATCCTTTACACATGGAAGCCCATGGCTATTAATGAGGGATTAACAGACTATTCATTTATATCAGTGCAAACCTGCCATTAATTCCAAAGCTTTTAGGAAAGCGTTCTTATTCCTATTTAGTGGAATGGGGAAACGTTAACGTGTCACTGCTTTGATCTGGATCTTCTCATTCCTTAGAGTGTGCAAATAATACCTAAAAATTACCAGAGTTCTTCCTTTACTTTCAGTTGGTGTTTGTTGTGGGTTTTGGTCATTCACAGTGAGTTGCTCAGTTCTTCAGGGATTAAGCTGAAAATTCCCAAGGGGTCTAGGAAACATGTGCCAAGTTTTCATAGGGAAGATGGGGAGGAGGGGAAGGTGGCATGGAGCTGCTGTGTTAAACCGAGTTTTGTCCTTTGTTCCTCCTCCTGTATGGCCTTTCCACAGATCAGGAGGGTGACAGGGAAATGTGACAGCGTGGGGTTGGTTTTGTTACAGCCCACTGGAAGCATTCACACAGTCCGGGATCCATAGGTCACTTCAGTGTCTGGCACCAATTTTGTTATTAACAAATAATCCTCACTGGTCACTGAGATCTCTCTTCTTCCTTTCTTTGAGAAACCTGTAATGTGCTGCTGCAGGTTTGTTTCTTTCCACAGGAAATAAATATTTTGCAGTGGGAAATTGAATTTGATCAGGATAGATTTAAAAACATAGAAGACACGTGGACAGAAAAATACGACAGGTATTTTACTTCCACTGTGTATCTTTGA